AAGAGAATGGAGGAAATGGCAGGCAATATTTGAAGCTATAATAGCTAGGAATCTTCTAGAATTGAAGAAGGATGTGAGTCTTTAAGGAAATGGTCTCCCAAGAGAAATTTCAAACATCTGGGAAGGAAAGAAAGGCCTACATGGAGCAATTGGTATTCTTTACAGCACAGCTTTGAGAAGCCCTAGCTGATTATAATGAGCCTTTTCTGTTTTTCACTGGAAAACACAAAAACAGAAATGTAATGTGTTGTATATACTAAACCATATTTCCTGAACAAAGACACTTACAAATGACTCCTAAAAGGAGAACCTTGTGGACAACAAGACATGCAGAATCAAGATACCCAGGAAGATCTCTCTAGAAAAGGTAGTCTTATGTCAGTACCTTTGTGAAAAATAGGTGGGAAGACAGTGATTGCTTGTTTTACTATCTGAAATTCATGTTTAAAAACAGTATTTTCAAAAGAGACATCATGAATGACCCAATCTGGTAGAAAGGAAAAATTTGAATATTATTCTATGGAAAAAAAATGTCAGAGGTGGGCATGGTGGTGCAGATTTATAATCCCAGAGACTTGGGAGGCTGAAACAGGAAGATCACAAATTCAAGGCCAGCTTGGACAACTTAGCAATACTCTGTCTCAAATTAAAAAGAGTTAGGGATGTAGGTCAGTGGTAGAGTGCCCCTGGATTCAGTTCCCAGAACTGGGGAGCAGGGGCGTCAGTTGGAACATTTCAATAAGGATAATATTCTTTTAGTGACTAATTGCAAAGTGGGGAGGGGATAGAAGGACATTCCTATGGAATGAGACCCTGTGAACATTGGATGCTGCTTCAAGTTCACAGAAACACTTAGCAGATGGCCTGTTAAGGGGTCAGAAAATAGATATAATTAATGCAAACAGCTACATACATTGATTCAGACCCAGAAGGTCAGTGTGCAGAATCTAGTAAGGTAAATTTGTTTTGATAAAGCTCTTTTTTATCATTGTTTTGTCAAAACAGATTGCTATGAAAGAAACTGTACAAACAATTATCCTTGAAGATTGATAGCAATAGGATTTCAATAAGCACAGATTGGAGATTCTGTTCCTATAGATGAAAATGATCATACATTGATCATACATTGATTTTCTTTGACTTTAAATAAATTCCTGGAAAGCTTGTAATACTAGATACAGGGTAGGACTAACAACAACAACAAACCAATAGTATATTGGATTTTGTGTCTGCTTCCTTGTGGGCATCTAGCAGTTTCAAACTGAGCATTTTGGAAGACATGTCATCCCCTGTAGAATGTTCCTTCCAGATACGGAACAATAGAAAATATTTCCCTAGCCAGTCATGGTGGTGCATATCTGCAATCCCAGTGACTCAAGACGCTAAGGCAGGAGGATTGCAAGTTCGAGGCCAGCCTCAGCAACTTAGCAAGACCCTAAATAATATAGTGAGACACTTCTCAAAATTAAAAGGTCGTAAAGCACCCTTGGGTTTAATCCCTAGTACCCCCAAATTTCCTCAATATGAAACCAGGTCATGAGATTATCTTATTTTCTCAGACTGGACAATGGGAAAAGTTTTCTTACCACTTATATTTTCTGTCTTTTCTCATAGATAACATATCTCCATGTTTGTAGGTAGGAGTTTCTCTAACCTGATGAAATATCATTTATGAAAAACTGAAACATGCCATCTTATTTGGTACTTGTTATAACTGGAAAAAAGATTTGAATAGCTCTAATCAGTCACTTTTGATTCTCTGAATCCTAAAGCATTTGGAACCATTGCATATGCTAATATTCTTTATATTTCTTTGGACATCAATTGAGTATGACAAAAAGAAAGTGGATAGCCATAGAAATACTTACATGAAATAAAATGCATGGAAATAACATTATTTGGAACAAAAAGGTATATTACATAAAAAATAAGCCAAGAACAATCAAGGTCTTCTATGAATCTAATGTCATAGGCGTCAAAATAAGTGTCAACAGAACTAAAAGGAGATACTGTAACAAATCCATCATATTCAACAGTCCTCTAAGAAAAATTGATAACTACAAAGAATCAAAAAATCCCAACAGTGTAGACTATTTGAATAACAAATTTAGCATAATTTATGTATTTTGAAATTCTACCTTTCAGAGAGGAAAATATATGTATTCTTAAGTGCTCAATGGATACATTTTCCAAAGTGACTATAGACTAGATCACAAAAAGAAGTTTTGCTAAATTTCAAAGGATCAGTATCATACAGGTAGTCTCTGATTAAAATGCAAATTAAGAGGGGGGATAGTAGGGGATAGGAAAGGTAGCAGAATACAACAATTACTAATAGGGCATTATGTAAAATTGTGGATGTGTAACCGACATGATTCTGCAATCTGCATTTGGGGTAAAATTGGGAGTTCATAACCCACTTCAATCGAATGTATGAAATATGATATGTCAAGAGCTTTGTAATGTTGTGAACAACCAATAAAAAATGCAAATTAATTAGAAATGTACACTGAAAACATGTTTGGAAATATAAAAACTGCACTCAAATGACAGCAGATTAACTTAAAAGATGGCAATAATGATTACAAAATATAATTTAAAAACTAAAGTAAATACTTCCAAACTTTTGGTCTACCTTTAAAGTACTACCAAGAAGCAAATTTGTAATTCTAAATGTGTTTATTTTAAAATAGTAAAGATAGCTGGGTGTGGTGGTTCATGCCTGCAATTCTAGCAGCTCAGGAAGCTGAGGCAGGAGGCTCTCAAGTTCAAACCCATCCTCAGTAACTTAGCAAGGCCCTGAGCAACTTAGTGAGACATTGTCTTTAAATAAAATATTAAAAGGGCTGGGGATGTGGCTCTGTGGTTAAGTGTCCTTGGGTTCAATTCCAGATACAGAAAAAAGGTAAAGATTAAAAAATAAATAATTTAAGCATTCAAAGTGAAAAACAAAAGGAAAAAAGTCCAGCAAAATAAAAAAAATGATTAATGGACAAAAAAGAAACCAGAATAAATGAGGAACTCTGCCACATTTCTGGGTGTAAAGACTCGATAATATGAATTCAGTTCTTCCCAGTTTATTCTATAAATTCAGTATGATTCAAGTCCAAAGTTTCAATAAGAGTTTTTGTGAAATATGAAAATTAGATACTAAAATCATAGGGAAGATCAAAGATATCAGCATAGCCAAGACAATTTTAATGAAGAACAAAGTGGGGATGGGAGAGGCTAACAGACACCAACTAATTTAAAACATCACAGGCCAATAGAATAGCATTGAGAACTCAGAAGCACGACTGTATATTTATGTACACTTGATATATTGCAGAGGCACTGTTAAAATTGGAGGGGGAATCGAGGGGAAATGAATGAGATTTTTGGCTCAATTCTTTATCTATAGGCAGAAAGCAAACTTAGATCACATGTTGATACTAAGCACAAAAATAGATTCTGGGAAAATCAAAGACCTCAATGTGAAAAACAAAATTTAGACTTTAAAATGTAGGTGTAAGGAAGATTTTCTTAAACAAAACTTAAAAAGCAGGAAACATGGAGAAATATGGTGAAACTTAATTATTTTGTACCGTAGGATGCCATGAACAAAGTTAATCTACACCAAGAGAAGGGCAGGAGATAATATTTGCTGTGCACGTAACTAATAGAGGATATGCATATAGAATATATAAAGAACTTTAATAAGAAAAGACAATCCAGTGGGAAAATGGGTAAAGGAAACATGAAAATCTAGTTAACATGAAAGAAATTCATCCTTTAGTAATCAGGGATGTGCAAATTAAAATGTACCCATCAGATTGCCCCCAAATGTGAATGTCTGATGATACCAAGCTTTTGAGGAGAATATAGCCATATGTAAAATCCCATTCACTATTGGAGATAGAGTAAGTTGGTAAAACCACTTAGAAGAACATTTTGGTGATATGTAGCAATGCTGAAGATACTGCTAGGAACCAACTATTCTACATCAAGATGTATTCTGTGTAGAATCTCTTAAACAGGTATCCAAAAAGACAGGTATAAGGAAGTTCATTGCTTCATGATTTGTAATAGTGGAAAGTTGGAAACAACCGAATTGCCCACGGACAGGAGAATGTTGTTAGCATATTCAAGCAACAGAATAATACCTTTACAGCAATAAAATAACAAACTGTATATCAGCGTGGATAAATCTCCAAAACGGTGTTGAAGGCAAAATCAACTCTTAGAATGGTATGTACATTCTTAAGCATGAAGTTCTTAAATGTAAAATTTAAGAACATGCAAAATAATGATGTTAGAGATTGAATCACATGAAATGAGCGTTTTTGTAGATTAAAAAAAACAAACAGGTAATATCAGAATCTTTAAGTTCAACATAATATTTGTGGATGCATCCATGGTAATGATGGACATGGAATTCAGTATGGCATTATCTCCTTGGGAGCAATGGTGAGGAGGCAATGGTATGGTACTGGGGGTACATGGTGGGGGGAGCTTCAGCTTTAGTTGTCATATTTAATTTCTTCAAAAATTTTTTGAAGAAAATATGGCAAATATTAAATTGATTGAAGCAGGGTGGTGGGCACATGGATATACTCTTTCTGTATTATACATTTCTGTTGAAAATGTTTGATTTTTTTAAGCAAACCAAAGTATAGATAGGGGCATAAAAATTTAATCTCATTATAAAGAAATACTTGTAAAATGATTACAGTTTTTGCTGCTTACTTGTCTGAACATAGCACTCATGAGACTTTTAGTATAACATAAAAAATTGAAAAGCATCGCCCCTTCCACACTAGTCAAAAGCTTCAAATTTTATTTTGTTCTTTCAGCATTGGTAAGATCATCATCTCAAACACCATTCATTAGTGCCTCTCTTTTGCTTGCTCTTGTTTGGTGGTGGTCAGATTCTATCTGCCATGTTCTAAGAAATCTGGTGATGATATTCAGTTTTCTTTCTTTTTTTCCTTCCCTCCTTTTTTTTTATATGATGCCAACAGGAATCTGCAAGCAGAATATGATCGTCTAAAGCAACAACATGAACATAAAGGCCTGTCCCCACTGCCGTCTCCTCCAGAAATGATGCCCACCTCTCCACAGAGTCCTCGGGATGCTGAGCTCATTGCTGAGGCCAAGCTACTGCGTCAACACAAAGGCCGCCTGGAAGCCAGGATGCAAATCCTGGAAGATCACAATAAACAGCTGGAGTCACAGTTACACAGGCTGAGGCAGCTGCTGGAGCAAGTGAGACCCATATCTCTCTAATATGAGATATTTGCAAACATTCATTTTTCCCTCTTAAGCAAAACTAAAAAACAGAACTCAGAGTTCTTGTAAGTATAAGCATCAATTCTTTAGTGCTTACAATGTGCCCAGCAAAATGCTAGGTGTCAAAGGATATAAAAAGGGGAAAACAAGTGTGCATTTTTATATAAGATATTTCCTGCCAAAATGTTTTTTATTAGACCAATTTGAAAGGCATCTTTGAAAAAAACAATTCCAAAATTTACCTCTTGAAATGGAACTCTCTTCTTTGAAATTAGTTATAGTTTCTAATATACCTTTGGACTTTTCTTCTGATCCTTAACACATAAATTTTTAAGCTTCCATTAAAAACCTAACAAGTTACTGCACTATCACAGACTTCGTCCAGACATGGTGCTGGCTTTTGAGAATTTTAAATTCTCTGTTGTATTTCTTAATACTTCCCCCAAATATGAATTTTCCATTGCATTATTAAGATCTTGTGTGCTCTCAGCATTCTCACATAGCTTTCCAAATATTTTGGTCTTTTAGTCTAATGATAAATACCTTGCTCTACTGAACCCCTATTTTTTTCCTCATTTTTTATGAGGGGGCACAGTTGAGATACAAAGATAAAATCCACAGATTATATCAACAGTAAAATATCCCAAATTCAATAACCTTTGGGAGATTTCTAAGTAGAATGGGTCAAAATTCCTGGTCCTGAGTTCTGTAACATTTTATTTTATATATTCATTTATTATTTTAAAAAATTCTGTTTTCTTTTTGATGCCTTAGCCCCAGGCAGAGGCCAAGGTGAATGGTACCACAGTATCTTCTCCTTCGACCTCTCTACAGAGGTCAGATAGCAGTCAGCCTATGCTGCTCCGAGTGGTTGGCAGTCAAACTTCAGAATCTATGGGTAAGTATCTTAACTACTCCTAGATTTTGTTATCTTTTAAGATCTGGGAGTTGTGAAATGTTTGCAAATAATTCAAATCATTAGCTAGATTATCTTATATTTCTGGATGGGGAATTTTCACAAGTGCCTTAAGGGATGTGATAATCCTAGTCTTCAAAGAACTAGCCTTCAATTATTCAGGACAATCAGGGGAGCATTACAGTTTATTCATTTTGGAGACCAGGGAATGCTTTATGACCAGTTGATATTTTTAAAGGGTTCTAAAAAATTGATTAGTGTGTCAATCAGCATTTTACCACCATGACAAAAATATCCAACAAGAATAACTTTTGGGCTTATGCTTTCAGAGGTATCAGTTCATGGTTGGCCAATTCTACTTATCTGAGCCTGAGGTAAACCAGAACATCATAGCAGAAGAAAACTGCACAGTTTATAGCAGCTGGGAAGCAAAGAGAGAGAGGTGCTAAGGACAAAATATAAACCAAGCTGGGCACAGTGGTGCACACCTGTAATCCCAGCTACTCGGGAGGCTGAGGCAGGAGGATCAGGAGTTCAAAGCCAGCCTCAGCAATTTAGCAAGGCGCTAAGCAACTTGGTGAGACCTTGTATCTAATAAAATTAGGGATGTGGCTCAGTGGTAAGTGCCCCTGAGTTCAATCTCTGGTACCCAAAAAGAAAAAAAAAAAAAATATATATATATATATATATATATATATATATATATATATATATATATCTCACAAAGGCATGCCACCAATTACCTATTTTCTCCAGCCATGAATTACCTCCCTATAGTTACCCACCAGTACAGTAGTCCTTTTAAATTGTTAATCCATCAAGTGGATTAATCTGCTGATTAGGTTATAGCTCTCATAATTTAATCATTTCACCTCTGAATACTCCTGTGTTGTCTCATATATGAGCTTTCAGGGGATACCTCACATCCAGACCATAACAAGTACTAATCAAACATACCCTGAGGTAAGAATAGTGTAAGGGAGAGTGTGGAGATTAGGCCCAACGGTGAGGAAATAGCCAGTAATCCAATTAAGTAGGAAAATAAGGTCCAATCAGGGAGAACAAGGAAATAAGGCTTCAGGAGAAGGCTATAAGCTCATTATAGTGAAATGGACATTGAACTGAGGTGTTCAACTGATTTTGGTGTCAGGGAGCCACTAAAAATAACTTAGCAAACTAAAAAAAAAAAAGATTTAAGAAAAAAATTCTTAAAAGTTGTGTGCTGGCTCCTGTATTTGACCCAAAGTAAAACTTTTTTATCAATGAAAAGACCAATTAGGAGGCAGTTGATAAGACCAAGGAATGTGAATTGTGAGTGACTGCATTTGAGCAATGTGTCTACATATGAAATTGTTCCATGAAAATAGAATGCCCAGGGCTGGGCAACTGACTGTTAAATGTAGGGAAGGAAATAAGGTGAGAGGATGTGGGTGGTAGAAGATAGTAAAACCTGATTTTGGACATAATATTTTTGAGGAGCTATCAGGTCTTCTGTGTCATGTCCAGAAAGAAGTGTAAAATACAGGTCTATCCCAGATGTAAGAGGGCAGACTGGGGAGATTTGAGAGTGAGCTCCATTAAACTGATTGCTAAAGAGTATGGGATGAGAAATAGATGGCAAATGTACTCAGATACAATGCTTTGGGGAAGACCTCTATTTGGGTGATAGGAAGCTGAAGGACTGGGGTATAGGAATATATTTAAGGAAGGTATGATAGAAAGCTCAATGAAGAGCTAGGGTTTGTGGCTCAGTGCTAGAGCATTTGCCTAGCATGTGTGAGGCACTGGGTTTGAGTCTCAGCACCACATATAGATAAATAAATAAAATAAAGGTCCATCAACAACTAATATCTATATATCTATATCTATCTATATATGTATTTAAAAAAAAAAGCTCAATGGAAATGAGGATAACTCACAGCCTAGTGGGTCACTGGAAATGCACTGGCCACTTTGGAAAATATTTTCAGCCAAGAGAAGGGAAGTTGGAACTTCTGTTCATTCAATGAAATTAAAAGATAAGTTCTTGTTAAAAATTAGGAAAGATAGTAGATATCCTATGTGCATATATGATTGTATGACCAATGTAATTCTACGTCATGTACAACCAAAAGAATCAGAAGTTATATTCCATATATGTATAATATGTCAAAATACATTTGACTAACATGTATAACTAATAAAAACAAATTTTTAAAAAATGAATGAGAACTAAGGAAAATGACTACACTTTGGGGGCATTACCAGGTAGGTAAAAATGAGATGAGTTTGTGGAGGAAATGGTCAGTGTGGTCTGGTGACATTCTTCAGCAAGGTTCTCTGCCTAGGACTAATTCCTAAGAAATCTGGAATTGATGAGGCATAAACAATAAATGAAAGTCAAAATGAGCAAGGCACGTTACAGTGGTAATAAATGGCTGTAACTGGGGTTGTTAGCCAGTTGCTCCTTGGTTTTTCCTGCTGTGCTAGGTTAGACATTAGTGTTTTATGAACACCGCGAATATTTGACTGATTGTCTTCATTTCTCCAAGTGAGCCTGAGTCAGTGGCACGTTCTAGCTTCCTTTTCCCTGGGTCCTAAACTAGTTATATTTGACTCCAAATAATACTTCACAGAGCCAGGCATAATGGTGTTCATCTGTATGCCCAACTATTGGGAAAACTCCTTGATTCCTCTTCACACTTAAAGCTCTTTCACCTATGGTATGATGGTGTGTTCAGACTTGAGATCTTCCAAAGGAGAATCTTTCCTTCTAAAGAGAAGGAAAATGCCTAAATTGATAGGGCAGAAAGGAAAAGTCAAAGATATGCATGAAATTTATGGTGAAACATTGGGAGACCTTGGTCAAGAAAATTTGAAATTAGACATCATGGAAGTAAAATGATTTCAAGCGATTTCTACTTTTTAGGATGTAGCTTCCCAGTAAGCTGCTGAAGGTTCCTGAATATCATTGAGGGTTTAAGGGTGTGGTTCATAAGGCCAGGGTTGTGGGGCTCATCAGCAGGGTGGTGAGACCCTTAACGGTGATGATGGGAAAGATGTCAAGGAGAGTAGATGAGAGTGCTAAGTGGTGAGCATTTCTGAAGAAGTAGAGTGGGTGATTGAAGTGGGTGGTGTTCAAGAATCTGGAGCCATAAGGAGAGGCACGTCCTCCTCTGGAGAAGTCAAAATGTTGTAAGATAGCCACATTTCAGTTGTTTGGAGAAGGAAGGGAATATGTTTGAGGTTGTTTTCCTGACTTTACTACACCTCAGTGATTTAGGGCAGTCTCTGTGTCGGATTCTCTTTCTCCACATGAGATCTGAATACAGCTAATGGACTGTTGGGACTATAAATGATAGCACAGTGCATGAAAAAATATTGCATGCCTTTGAAAAGTCTATAAATTCTGAAAACAACTGAGCTTTAGTGCCTCTGTTGTTATTTCCTACTTCAGGATTTTCCTTTTTTTTTTTTTTTTTGAAGTAAGTAAAGCATGTGAAATTAAGTCGCATATTTTAGCAGTGAGATTCAGAGCCCTGGGTGCTTAGAAGCATTAATTATTTAGGTTGTCAACACTGATGAAAAGGCAGCATTCCTGTTAAAGCACCCAAATGAAAGTACACATCAGGCTGTGTTCCTGATGATTTGTGGAAATAAGATTGTGGCAGAATTGAATACAGGGACAGAAGTGCTATATTCCAGTGGCTATGTTAAGCTAAGAGATAACTTGCCAATGATAAGATGGATCGGCTATGTTGTTAAAGTTTGTTCTTTGAAAGAAAAGACTGAATTCAAAGGTGCTTTTTCTTTTTCTTTTTTCTGAACTGCATAGGCAGGTTTGTTTTAGAGGGGGAAAGGGATTATCATTTTGAAAGAGGCTTGCAGGTGTTTAAATAAATGCAATGTGTGTCCTCATGATTTGAAGGTTTGAGATGTGATAAGGCTGGGATCTGCTGAGCCATATTCTAGAGAGAAAATGGCATTCTTTATATATACAACCCCAATCATTTTCTTTTAACTGAAATATGGAAGAAGTCATACCAGGTGATCTGTCTAAAGAGTTGGAGTACAGTCAGCCCTCCCTACCCAGTAGGTTCTGCATTCATGGATTTAATCAACCACAGTTAGAAAGTGTGGGGGTTGGAATTCACCTGTACTGAACATATACAAACTTTTTCCTGCCATTGTTCCCTAAACATACAATATAACAACTGTTTACATAGCACTTACGCTGTCTTAGGTATTATAAGTGATCTGAAGTTGATTTAGATTATACAAAAGGAGGTATGTAGGTTACATGCAAATACTATGCCATTTTATATATAAAAGACGTGAGCATCATGGATTTGTTGGTAACTGCAAGGATCCTGGAATGAATCCTCCAAAATTACGAGGGACAAGGGACAACTGTACTTCCTCAAACCATGAAATGCTTATCACCAATAAATCTCTGTGTACCCTATGTGTTCTATATAGCTTTTACTGGGATAGTATGTTAATGAAGTGCACACTCTATTGGAGGAAACAAAGAAAGAAATAGAAATTAACAAAGTAGGTTAGCCAACTTTCCATTGCTATGACCAGAATACCTGACAAGAAAAATTTTAGAGAAGGAAAAGTTTAGTTGGATGTATGGTTTCAGAGGTTCAGTCTATAGTAGAACAACCCCAAGGCAGAAACGTGACTGTGGAAGGGCATGGCAGAGGAAAGCTGCCCAGCTCATGGCAGCCAGGAAATTGGGACAAGTTATGTCCCCAAGGACACACCTCCAGTGACCTACTTCAGCCACACCTCACCAGCCTGTAGTTGCCATCCAGTAGTCTGTTCAAATCATTAATCCATGAAATGGTTTACTCTGCTGATGAGGTCACAGCTCTCAAAAATCCAATCTTTTCACCTCTGAACATTGTCACATTGCCTAACACATGAGTTTTGAGGAGACATTCCTAGATCCAAACCATACACAAGGCTTGTTTTAACTTTCCTGAGTTCTGCACCCC